AAAAAAAAAAAAAAAAAAAAAAAAAAACCTGATTAGGTCTTGGATATTTTTGCTTAACAATTACTTAGTCTCAAGATACCCTTTTTCTTGTGGGATTAAACCCACATGCCAATTCAACAATCTCTACCTTAGCAGATGACCAAAGGCATTCCCGATGCAATGACCAATGTCTTTGTGAACGGCGTGTAAAGCATAAACAAGCTAACTACGCATGTTATATGAACCCCCCCTCCCACCCCTGCGTTCATGGTAGGCAATCCACAGGTTTTTCCTTCAGCATAGACGGCTATATATTTTTCATAACGTGCACCCGTCTCCATCATCTTGATCTCCCCCATATTTACTAAGTGCTTGTGTGCTATTGGTTTGTTATAATATCTTCTTTTGGGTCTGCTTATCTGTCATTTGCTTGCTTGTTCTTTTGATCTCATCTACTTGTCAGCTATTTCTACCTTGTGACTTTGTCATCCCAGATTTATTTACTTTTCAATGTTTCATTATGCGTGATGGCGTCTGTTCTATATATATTTGTTGTAATTATTTTAAGAGTGGTGGAACACATGTAATAAAGTTTCATATGATGGCAAATTATTCTGTTTCAAGAAGTCCTTAATTCTGCTTCCACATATCAATTGTGATGATGTAAAGAAGTTAGCTTCTTGGTCCAGCCATCGCTTTCTGTTTGCTAGCTTTTAACATGTGACATGCTGTGTGAAAAGCTAGGACTCCTGTGATTTACTTTTGCTGAAATTCTCAATGACAGGGAGTCAGGGACCATGTAGGGCAACATACATGCAACTTTTACTGATGATTATTAGCACTAAGTTCAGTCTCCAGAACTAAAAATATTTAAACTAATGTTTCACGAGTTTATTCAGATATTTGTATTGCATCAGTAAACATAATAAACATCTAAATGGTCATAGTAAGGTGCTGTCTCCCGTTGCAAATCTGTTCTCCAAGGCAACTGTTGAAAAAGAGTTAGCAAGTAAATTGCCTTTAATTAGTGATGATTCTTATCACTAAGTTCAAAGGCTCTTAAACTAAAATCTTTGCACTAATATTTCATGAATTTATTCAAATATTTGTATTGCATCAGTAAACATAATAAACATCTAAATAGCAATAGTAGAGAGCTCTCTCTCATCATAAATCTGTTCCCCTAGGCAACTGTTGAAAAAAGTTAGCAAGCAAGGAGATTGGCTTTTCTTATCGGGTTTTCAAAATATCTAAGGTTGATATCATTGATATTCCGTGCCTTAATACCGTGAATGTAAATTTTTCACTGTAATCACTTTGATGATAGCACTCACAAGTTAACATGCTTTGTGGAAAAAACTAGACCTAATCCACTCATGAACAATATGTTGCTCAGGGATCTATGTCGGAGGTGAGAAGGTAGTTCACTTCACACGCAAAAAAGAAACATCATCATCAGGACTGAACTCATCCAGTTCCTCCACTCCAAGCTCCAACCTCTCTTCATCCTGCCTCACTTTTCCTGATTGTGGATTCCAGCAACCAAACAGCGGTGTCATCCTCTCTTGTTTAGATTGCTTTCTTGGCACCGGCTCCCTCTACAATTTCGAGTACGGAGTCACCCCCTCTCATTTTCTTGCCAAAGTCCGAGGTGGCACGTGCACCATTGCGGAGGCAGACCCACCAGAATCCGTCATCCACAGAGCAATGTACCTTCTCCGCAATGGATTTGGGAATTATGATCTCTTCGAGAATAACTGTGAGGATTTCGCTATTTATTGCAAGACGGGGCTTTTGCCTGTTGATGATCAAGGAGTTGGGAGGAGTGGACAGGCTTCATCATTCATTGGAATGCCATTGGCAGCTATGTTATCGACTCCGTTCAAGCTTTTGGCGGCAGGACCTGTTGGGATGGCGACGGTGACAGCTGGCATGTATTGTGCTGGGAGGTATATTACTGACATTGGAGTTAGGAAGGATGTTGTTAAGGTTAAGGTTGAGGAGTTGGGTATGAATCTTGGGTGGAAGCACAACTCTGAAAAAGTCGAGGTCAGGAATGATGATGATCATAATGGTGAGGTTGTGACTCTTATAGATATTGAAAAAGAGGTGAGGAATGATGATGATCCTAATGGCGAGGTTGCGACTCTTATAGATATTGAAGAAGAAGAAAAACCAAGATGACATGCATGGTGTGTGCGAGAGGGAGGAATTTATTCAGTGGCAATAAAATAAGCGAGGCTAATGTGTGTTGGTGTTGAGTGTTGACCAGTTTGTGATTATGTTAAACAATTTATGTGGTGTTTGGAAACTAATAGATGAATTGAGTAAATTGTGATTAAAGAAGGTTTTTTCATATCATTTGAGTGGTGGATTTTCTCAAAAGTTAGCCAGGTTTCTTGAAGTGACATGAGATTTTGGCTTTTATTTTGATATAATATGAGTAGACTGTATTGGTCAAGCATATCTCTTCTTTATATTGCTTTTGTTTCTTCCCAGGATCGAAATGAAAATGCCTTCATATAACAGCATAAACACAATAAAATGCAGATCTCTCTTACATATTTTTCGTCTGGTTCCATTACTATTGGCTGTCCACAGTTACCACTACCTTCTTCTGCTCCTACTACTATTCCATTGCCTGCTCCTGTTGCTCCTGCACCGAAGCCTCTACTGACATACTCTCGCTGTCCAAAGAACCTTCATCTCCAGCTGAACCTTCATCTCCAGCTGTCGGTCCATCTCATGTTGAGACCTCTATTCCTTCTGACTTGGATATCCCTATTGCTCTTCGAAAAGGTAAACGGCTGACTTGGATATCCCTATTGCTCTTCGAAAAGGTAAACGATCTTGCCCGAAATATCCTATATCTCTTTGTCTCTTATGACCGTCTCAACCCATCTTTTCGTCAGTTTGCCTTGTTCTTATCCATTGTATCTATACCTAGGTCATATGAGGAAGCTATGTTAGTACCAGCTTGGAAGCAGGCCATGGATGAGAAAATGAATGCACTACTTTCTAGAGGGACTTGGGACTTGGTTTCTCTTCCTACTAGAGCGATTGTGGTTGGTTGCAGATGGGTGTATACCCTAAAATATCGCCCCAATGGGTCTGTTGACCGTTATAAAGCTCGCCTAGTTGCGAAAGGCTATACCCAGACATATGGCGTCGACTATTTTGAAACCTTTTCTCACGTTGCTCGTCTCAACTCCATCAGAATTCTTTTCTCTATGGCTGTTAATATGGATTGGGCGATGCACCAACTAGATGTGAAGAATGCTTTCCTTTATGGTGATTTGGACGAGGAGGTTTATATGGAGCAACCTCCTGGGTATGTTGCTCAGGGGGAGAATATTATCTGCAGGCTGAGAAAGGCCATCTATGGGTTAAAGCAGAGTCCTCGAGCTTGGGTTGATAAGTTCAGCAAGGTTATTTCTAATGTTGGTTTTCAACGTTGTCAGTCTGATCACTCTGTCTTTCTTCGACGCACAACAACTGGTTCGGTTATTTTAGCCGTATATGTTGATGATATTCTGCTGACTAGGAGTGACTCTGTTGCCTTAGCTGAGACTAAGGAGTATCTAAACCGTCATTTTATCACTAAGGACATGGGAAAACCAAAGTATTTTCTTGGGATTGAAGTTCCATATCAAAAACATGGCCTGTTGTTGTCTCAAATGAAGACAGTTACCAGATCTGATATTACTTTTGCAGTAGGTGTATTGAGCAGGTTTATGCACAAACCTAGAGAGGTTCATTGGACAGCAGCTCTGAAGATTTTGGCATATGTCAAGAGTTGCCCTGGCAAAGGATTGTTATATAAGAAGCATGGACATACTCAAAAAAGGTAACATCAGCAGACACAAAATATTTCCTAGTGGACGGATGATAACACCTATATCCTTTTTGAGTACGAGAGTATCCAACAAAAACACATTTGATGGATCTAGATGACAACTTATCCAAACCAGCAGTTAAATCCTGAACAAAACATGTAGAACCAAAAACACGGGGAATCACAGAGAATTATTTTTTTATCAGGATAAAGACAATTGAATGGTATTAAACCATCAAGGACAGAGGAAGGCATGCGATTAATCAAATAATTTGCAGTGAGAACAGCATCAGACCACAAATACTTTGGAATATTCATATGTATCATCAGTGTTCTAGCAACATCTAGAATATGCCTATGCTTCCTCTCAGCAACTCCATTTTGTTATGAAGTGTGAGAGCAAGAAGTCTGATGAATAATGCCATTAAGAGCACAAAATTTTGAAACATCACTTTTCATATATTCCAAAGCATTATCAGTACGAAGAATACGAATAGAAGTAGAGAACTGAGTTTTTATTTCATTATAAAAGAGTTCAATAACGTGCGAGACCTCTGACCTCTCTTTTAACAGATAAAGCCACGTCATGCGAGAGAAATCATCAACAAAGATAATAAAATATCAAAAACCTTGCACAGAGGGAACACGATAAGGACCCCAGATATCGGAATGAACCAACTCAAAAGCAAAACTACTACGTTTATCGACTCGACTCTGAAAAGTAGCACGATGGTGCTTACCCAGTTCACACGACTCACAACCTAAAGAGGAAATAGATGGCTGAACAGAAACTACTGATCTAAGTTTTTGTAGTGAAGGATGATCCAGACGCCAGTGCCATAATAAAGTGGAGTCAGACTGTGATGCAACAAGGCCAGCTTCTGGCACACTGTCGTCCAAATAGTACATACCTCCTCTCTCATGCCCCGAACCAATCTTCATCCCAGTTGCTAGGTCCTGAAAAACACAATAAGATGGAAAGAAGGTGACTTTATAATTATTTTGTTTTGTAAACTTGCTAATAGATAATAGGCTAACAGGGAATTTAGGAACATATAACACATCAGTTAGTTTTAAAGAGGAAGTTGCATGAACTACTCCATCACCACGAACTGGAGAAAGAGTACCATCAGCAATACGGATAGAAGAAAACTTATCAGAAAGATGTAAAGATACAAAGTGATCCTTTATACCTGTCATATGAGATGAGGCTCCAGAATCTAGTACCCAGGGTTTGTGAGAAGAAGCTATGTAAGCATCCATACCTGAAGAGGATGCATGAGTAGCAGAATGAATATTCTGAGAGAGTTCTAGCTGGCGCAACCTCTCATAATCTGCCTGAGAAATCTGAACAGTAGGAGCAGTAACAGCTGGATCACCAGAAGTAGTAGCAGAAATAGATGAGTTAGTCGACTCTGTATCAGCTACTTGGGCCCACTGAGGATGACCAAACTTCTCCCAGCACTTCTCAGACAAACTGATCCATCGTAGGTAGAGATGGTGTAGTAGTATCAGAAGTAACACCAGTAGAGACCTGCATGACTCTGGAGAATGTAGCAGTCAGTGAGGGAATTGTATCTCCACCCAATATCTGTCCTCTCACCTGAGACTGTAAATTAGGGTTCAACCCAGAAAAAAATTTGGATATTGCCAGATCACGACGATACCCTAATAGCATCGCTGCATTAGCTACTGCAGGCTGATGCATCTCTAGTTCGTCTATCAGTCCCTTCAATTCACCAAAGAATTCCGGAACTGACTTATCTCCTTGTTTGAGCGCAAACAGTCGTTTATAAATTTCAAATACACGAGGAAACATTCTTCTCGTTCCCGTACATAATCTTTAGGCTGTCCCACATCTCCTTTGCAGTGATTAAAAACATAACGCTGCTACTGATCTGTGCTTCCATACTGTTGAGAAGCCAAGTCATAACACAATAATCAGATGAGAGCCATGAATTGTAGGTGGGATCTGAGGTTGGTGGTGGAGATGCAAGAAGATGTGGTAGTTTGCTCTGAGCGCCAATGAAGATGCGGAAAGCTTGTGCCCAGAGCAGATAGTTTGCACCATTCAATTTAATAGTAGTCCCCAAGACTACCTTGGGCGCAGAGGTCTCACCAGCAACAATAGAAGGAGTAGTAGAGGAGGAGATGTCCGACATCGAAGTAGTAGTCATTTTTATTTTTAAGCAACAATAGGAGACAAATAGTAGTCAAATAGGCAGATTAGTAGTAGAGATCCGTTTTCGAAACATAAACTAAGAGCAGATCAGGAGCAGGATTAGAGACAGAGTGGTAGATAGTCATGCCCTCACGCTGCGTAGGCGAGATCACCTGAGGGAGAGAGCCCTGGCTTTTGTTTGCACAAAGGCTCAATTTCTATATTCTTGTTTCTTGAAGGAAATAAGAATAAAAGTGAAATATCTCAACAACGTGAGATAGACACTCTTCCTCTCATCAGTTCTATGACTGAAATGTCGAGGCTTCCTCTCATCAGTTCTATGACTGAAATGTTGAGGGACACAATCATCCTCTTATCAGTTCGAAGACTGAGATGTCGAGGGAATAGGCAACACGATGTAGGGGGCACTATAGCACGGCACTGTAGCGACGGCAGCACTGTAGCAGCAGGCGATGGTACTGTAGCAGCAGGCGGCGGTACTGTAGCAGCAGGATGGTACTGTAGCAGCAGGCGGCGGTACTGTAGCAGCAGGCGGCGGCTAGGGTTTTTGAATGAAGATTTGTGACGGCTAGGGTTTCATGCTCTGATACCATGTAGAGAATAGAGAAAACCCTAATAGTTTATTGAGAATAACAAGAGAGATATATATAGACATACAAATAGGATTAAGGTTAACGGGTAACAGCCTATTAACCCAATACCCAATATTTAACTTAACACTTTGTTTTACAGAAAATAGATCAGAACCTGCATCGATTTGTGAAACAAACGACAAATATTTCAAAAGATAGGTATTCAAACTTGCTGAATTACTTTCATTGTTTCATTTCTCTGTGTTTCTTCAGAATTTGCTGGCTTAATCTCCTCTTGCTTCTCATTGTCATCAGCTGCAAAACCTGCAAGATCTGCCAAGTCCTGGACTGCATCAACTATCCCTTCAATCTTTACTGAAATCTCGATCAATAGAGATACGACTGAGATTAGAGGCAAGACTTTCATCATATTTACACTTTCTGTTGCCAACATATGCTGTTTTTGTTCCTCTTCTGCAGCTGGTTTTAGGCTTCTCAATACACTGTGAACATCTTCCACTGCTTCATTCATCTCTGCCATCATTAACTCTATCGTCGAGGACTTCCTCATTGTCCTTAGAAACTTTGCTGCTTCTTTCAAAACCTTGTGATACTCTAAGCTCAATTTAGTACATACATCACTAAGATGATTCTTTAAGGATCGAGGTACCTGCTTATTCAAATTAAAGATGAAATTTTGAACTGAAATAGAAAACCCAAATTGATAAAGCAGGATAAAACAGAATACCAATCTATATACCTGAACTTCTGAATTGATGAAACTATTGAGAGCTTCTATACTGTAACTGCAACTTCTCATTGCTGAGCCAACTTTTAGATATTGTTTCCATGGGTGCCCGATCCTAAATGGCCCGTGTGAGGGCTCCCATATCGCTAAATTTGCCTATAAAATAAATATTCATAGACTGTGAGAAACTTAGCATTTTTCGCTGAATAACGTAGTTCAGTCTTTTCCCCCTAACAGTAACTGACCAGTGAATCTTCAGATGCTTTAGAATTAAGAACACACTTGTAGCCTTGCGATTTTTGGTAGAATGATTTGTGGGCATCAGCATTCTCACCTTCCTTGAAGTATTCAGTCGCTGAGTCTGAGATTTTGACAGAAAAGTTTCTTAGAATATATTTACATAACTGACACATATTAGAGTTAATATCACTTAATTCCCCTGAATTTTGGGGGGTTTTGCATAACCCATGGACTTTGTTTATTTCACTTAACTCCTCAAACTTTGGGTGTCTCCTATAACACCCTGAACTTTGAAGTTTTCTCAGAAGATCTACTGACACCGTCACCTGTTAATGGAGAAATGATGAAAATCCCAGGGCATTTTCGTTTTCTCTGTCATGTGCTTGGCAAGTGAGCCGTTAAAGTTCAGGGAGTTGCGTGCAAAACACCCAAAAGTTCTTAACCCTATATATTATAAAAAAAAGGCTTACATTCTAAGGAATTAGCGAGCTTTTCCATATTGCGGATGATGAGAAGGTGGAGATCCTCTCCAGCCCAAACTGGGAAAACTACAATAGAAACAATAATGCATATGGAGACTCCGATCATAATAGTAAAAAGACGTCTTTGCGCCAATGCAAGAAGATCATCAACACGATATCCAGATACAGCGATGAAATTGAAAGTGAGGATGAATATTGTGACTCCATAATCGAACTTTGTTTTGACCGTCAGTATAAATCGAGAAAATGTTGCAGCTGATGCTGTGAACACAAAAATGGCATCAGTAGTCGAGTTTATATGAAGTAAAAAACATTAAACTTTTGATTAGTTTTGTATACGTACATAGTATGAAGACTGAGGCTCCAAGGATTATATGCTCCGTTGGTTCTCCAAATTTACTAGCCAGCCAATGAATACTCCATGCTAGAAATGCCGCACTAAGTGTTGCAGTGGCTCGGTTCAACCCTTTGTATAGGGATCCTCCTACAGTATCAAAATGACAGAAAAACACATAATTAGACTAAATAATATTAGCAATATGTATATGATTATTTCATTAACACCTACTTCCAGACCCGTGACAATGATAATTTCTCTGATACCTTGATTCAAAAATATATGCTAGTTCTTCTTATTACAGTTCCTCTTACTTTCTTTTAAATTTATTTACTCCTTTCTCCATCCTCCTTATGTATATTCTGGATCCTGTTTCTCTAGTTTAATAAATTTTCTAAGCATCTTGCTGCGTCTGACTTTAAAAAAACTATTAGTGCTTAAACACGTGGGAACTAACATCAGATGTCTAATTCTGAGGGTCATGTAACACGTCAGGAGCTAGAAAATGCATGTTCTAATAAAATAAAATGAGTGATAAGTACCTAAACTCTCCGAGGATGTATAGCAAATAGCAATTTCTGATATCAGCGATATAGGACTCTTTCAATATGTACTTACCGACTGTGAACTCAAAAATGACGACAACAGTCATGATCGCCCACATTGCAGTTCCTCCAACGCCATCATACAAGGGTCTCATGTAGTAAAATACAGACACAAGAGCAAGTGCAAGGCCAACTTTTATACTATGGATGAACTTTCTTGGATCATCAGCTCCAAGCTTCCATATTTTCTTCGCAAACCCTGAAACCTTTGATCTGAAGAAGGACCAGACCCTGCAAAGTGGTCCGTCTTCTGGCTCTAGGTTCAGTGATGAGCCATCAGGGACAGTGACTAACAAAATCATAGTGAAGAATTAGTTTAAATGTGCTTAAATTAGAGATGCATGACTTTATGCAAGGGATGGGTTGCTTATATAAGCAATGTTGCTACTTATTGATATCCAGCATAAAAAGGTCCAGGCTTGTGGGATTTTAAAAAATATTGCTTTTGTTTGTAATGGGTGCAATGTTACCTGGATATCTTGGAGCTTATCTGTACTTGTATCATAATTAATAATAAAGGTCTCAATGTATACATTGAGTAGTGATACTCAGGTCAGATCCAGGTTTGTCGAACAAATGAGACGTGGTTGATCTTTGACCAAGTATCAATTAACATTTTCTCACAAAAGAGTCAATTAACATTTCTCTTACGTAGCTCAAGGCTTGGATTTTTATTGTTGATCTTTAGTTTGCTACTTTTAACGTATACTCTCCACTGATAACAGGACTTGAGTTAGAGTATTCAGTAAAGATACATGGCGATAAAACTTCTTCTCAGAAGCTAAAGCTTGATTTTGATCTTGTACTAGACTGAAACTATACTTGTTGGTACTTGTAGCGTACTGATAGCTACTGATGTATAATACTTATAGCTACTAGTATAAAAGGGAAGTTATGATAAGAGCACACATAGATTAGAATGCTTTAATTTCTTGCTAAAATTGCTAATAGTGTTATCTAACATTAAGCACTGGTGGAATATGATGGATTAGCACTATGAAAATTTTATTCGGACCACACATAAATACCTAATAAACCTAACATAGGTCTCTGCATTACCATATACATAGCAAAAGCAACCAAAAGTAGCTAATTATTGTATCCAACTGGCTTATTAAATTGATGTTACAAGGTAAAATTAGGTATGGCCCAATTCAAAATAGTTGTTGGCTGATGCTCTTCCAACTTTTTTTTTTGTTCTTCGTTAAAAAAGTGAACTCTCAACTTATGTCCATATTCCCTTAGGTAAATGATAAAGAGTTGCACTAACCTCATCTCTTATTATGGGTCACGAAAGGGAAACTAGCCTATCATATTATCTTGTCACGCTCAGGCCAAACATTTGGACCAAATTTCTCTTAGTCTAATCCTACTCCTTTTCCCAATATGATGCAAACGAATCATCTGCTTATGACTCCATAGTAAGGGGTAGCAAAGGAGGATGTTAACCTGTTAACTAGATCTAAATCTGACTAAAATAATCGGGTTTCGGGTCTGGATATTTGCTTGCAAACTCACATTCTCAAAGTCTTAACACACCTATAAGCTCTTTGCCAAATAGTATATAGTGTGCTAGTCAAAACGTGTAAAAGCCAACCCCGTCTATTTCTGCGATCCAAGGCTAACCAATGCAATAGAACCGTATCAACATTACACCCTACATGCACATTTACATCCTTTCTATGAAACTCCCACGATGTATACTCGTCCAGTTTGAAATCCACTCACAATTTTGTTATCAATTTGATGCTAAACAACTGTAATAACCTATATCCAAGAACGTTCCTCAAATATAGGATAACAACGTAACCTACAAAAGCGTCAAGGGTAGTATTGACCATAAAAAGCTTTTCCCGACGTTGCTTGGAAATTGATGGAGTTTTAATTAGGATAACAATGTATGATTATCACGTGCTTGTGGAGTTTTAATTTGAAATACAAAAGCTCTGGAGAAATAGATATCACGGTGGACATGCTTGGAGATTGACGGAAGCTTCTCTCTTCCAGGACACTGTAAATAACTCATGATGTAAGTTTGATTGTTTCTTCTGATGTCAGGACATGCTTTATAATCTACTCACTTCCTGCTTGTGAAATTTAAAAACTGAGTTCCCTCTTTTTTGATTCAATAACACCATATATGTTGGTGATATAAGCAGAGCTTGCAGTGATCTTTTTTTATACCTATTTTATCCAAGGCGACAGGGTTATCTTTGCAGAAGCTATGTCAATGTCCAGATGAGACGTAGAGCATTGGTTTCCCCTGGAATCTTATCCTATAATTGTGAACCGGGTCGATTGCGTTCTTAATCCTCAACATGTTCCTGCTTTCATTCTTAGTCCTAACTAGGACATGTTTGACAACAAGTTCATTTCATGTTAGTGAGATATAAACTGACATTTTTTTTTTGTATCATAACCCTCTTATGCACAAAATGTCTCTGTATGTTGAACATCTTTTGTGTTTTATATTTATGAAATTGTTACAGTTCTCTCAGAAGTTGAAAAGTGGCAAAACACGTGGTTTTAGACGATTCCTCTTTCTATAAGGAAGATAGTTACCTAAAAGTTCACAAGGGTAATGTCTTTACTCTTTACCTATAGAAATAATCACAACGGTTAACTTCTTATAAAAATTTCTCTCCGGATTGGGAATATGCATGGGAGATCCGAAGAAAAACTTTGGTTGGTTTTCTTTGGGAAATTTATTACATCAGTCAATAATTTGGTCACCCTCGCCCTCTTTGTGTGAGGTTTGGCATCATTAAAAAAAAAAAAAATTCAATTGTTACTTTCATATGATCTCAAAAAATCATGGACCAACTTAGGCTTGTACAAGAGCCCACGCAGACGCACAGAATTGCTAGCGTCTACCTATCTACACATAATGCAATCTTCTGAGGCTCTGAGTTCTATCAGTCTGTTTCATATCTAATGCAATATGTTTCATCCAGAGGTAGCAAGTAGCGCCCATGAAGTTGAGTGACTTTATTGTCCATCTGAGGAGGGGAATGGGATAGATACCTGCTCATAATCAAGTGGTGAGAATGGATGGATGGATGAATGAGGTCCTGGTACCAAAGGCATACTAGAGAGCTTAGTTAAGATACCACAATGAAAAGCAAATATGTGGTATATATAGGATTGAAGACTAGATTTCCAAATGAAAAGGATGGCGAAGTACTGTAAAGTCCAAGTAGACGCTGGTAGTTAGCAGGTGAATAATTAGGGATTAATTATCGTGAACAAATCAGCTGGCCTATTTATATATGTTGAGCATTTTCCCTCGTGAAGTGTCAATTTCTTTTATCCTCTGTAATCTTCCTTCACTGGGGCATCAATGGACACCTTCCAGTCTTTCCTCTTAGTAATGCATCTGATGCATTTATTGTTTACCTCATCATCGGCAGTGAAGCATAACAACATTACCGACCTCTCGGCCCTCTTGGCCATCAAAACCCAGGTCATCGAACGCGATCCGGGCAGCATTCTATCCGCCAACTGGACCACCGATGCCTCCTTTTGCACCTGGATGGGCGTCTCCTGCAGCCCCCTATCCGCTCACGTAGCTCGCCGACTCACTTCAATCGTTCGTCGATGTCGATTAGGCTCATGTGGATCGGATAGTGACGTTCATCGTCGTTCTTTAATACTAAACCGTTTGTGGAGACCTATAGGCAATTTTCGATGCCTACAGAGGGTGCTAAGATGATTACAGATCCAAACTACTGTGCATACCACAGAAGGATTCTTCATCCCAACAATATGCACCTGGATGGGCGTCTCCTGCAGCCGTCGAAGGCAAAGAGTCACTGCTCTCAACATTAGCAACATGACGCTCTACGGCACCATCCCTCCTCACATCGGCAACCTCTCGTTTCTGTCTCTGCTCTGGCTTTCCAATGATAGCTTAGTCGGAACCATTCCTGAATATCTGGCTCAGCTGCCTCGACTGAAAGTGCTCAGACTTGATAGCAATCACCTTTCAGGTTCAATACCTCCTTCCTTTTTCAACATGTCATCGCTTAGTGAACTGCAGCTCGGGTCCAACAGTATTTCAGGGACCCTGCCCTCTAATGATAGCGACTTCCATCCGTTGTTCCCTCAGTATATGTCCATAGATGACAACCAACTCACTGGCAGCATCCCGTCCAGCCTTTGCAGTAGTCGTACTCTTCAAAGTCTGAGCTTGAGTTCTAACCAGCTAACCGGGAACATCCCGTCGCAGATTGGAAATATGAAGCAACTTACTACCTTATATCTTGGAGGCAACAATCTAACGGGTACCATACCATCCTCTTTAGGTAACCTGACTAACCTGTCCGAACTAGCCCTTAGCAACAACAGCATCCACGGGAATATTCCCGAGGAGTTGGGTCGTCTCACGAACCTTGATTATTTGGAGATTAGTGAGTGTGGTGGTATTACTGGCCCCATACCAATTTCCCTTTCCAATTTGTCATTACTGACAGACCTTGAACTGAACTATAACAGTCTCACCGGACCAGTGCGTTTGCAGTTTGGGAACATGCCTCAACTTTACTATTTAGACTTACAGTATAACAAACTAACTGGAGCACTGGACTTCCTCGCGTCGCTTTCGAACTGCAGAGTTTTAGATCAAGTCGACGTTAGCGGAAATGAGCTGGATGGCGTTCTTCCATATACCATAGGTAATCTTTCAAGGACTCTGACATCGATTGATATCAACTATAATCGTATTAAGGGGGGAATTCCTGTTGAGCTGGGTAACGTGTCTGGATTGACCTATCTAGACCTGGGCTGGAATGAGCTAGCTGGGACGATACCGTCTGAAATCACAACCCTACAAGGCCTGCAATACCTAGGTTTGGATAATAACAGGATACACGGTTCCATCCCACATGAGCTCGGCCGATTGAGCAACTTGAACTCACTCTACCTCTGCGACAACAGTCTTTCCGGATCCATACCTGACTCACTGGGTAACCTCACCGAACTAGAGAACTTAATCTTTGCCGCTAACAGGTTATCTTCAGCAATTCCTGAAACTAATGGGAGTCTGACTCGTCTACGATTCTTAAATCTGTCACAAAACCTTCTCACTGGATCGCTGCCATTAACATTGTGGAACATGTATTTATATTCATTCGATATATCAGTAAATCAGCTGTCGGGTAACCTTCCAAGTCCTCCGAAGTATCTCGAAATCAATTATTTAGATCTATCAAATAACTCATTCGACGGGCACATTCCTGAATCATTTGGTGATCTTATTAATCTTGAGCATTTGAACCTTTCTTGCAATAAGCTCTCAGGTGTTATACCCGAGTCCTTAGTCAAAATCCGACATCTCAGTGCCCTGAACTTATCTTTCAACAAGTTGGAAGGAATGATTCCAAATGGCGGTGCCTTTTTAAACGCCAGTGTCGTATCTTTGAAAGGAAATGCAGCATTATGTGGAGCACCCATATTAGGATTTTCATCTTGTAATCCATTTGATTCCACACATTCTAACTCAGGGAGGCATTTGCTAAGGTATATCCTCCCTGTTATTGCTTCTTCCGGAGTCCTACTTCTAGGTTTTTGCATCTTTCTAAGATTTTGTAGAAGGAGAGCCAAGAATCTAGCCCCTCCTAGCATGCTCTCTCCTACTCATCATAGATTGATCTCATACTACGAGCTTGTTCGTGCCACTGACAACTTCAGCGAGATAAACTTGCTGGGAAAGGGTGCATTTGGTTCTGTGTACAGAGGGCTTTTAGATGATGGTCTTCTTGTTGCCATAAAGGTCTTGAATTTGGAAATCGAAGGAGCTTCGAGGAGTTTTGATGCTGAGTGTCTTGCTTTGAGGATTGTTCGACACAGAAATCTTGTTAGAATCATCAGCGCTTGCTCCAACACGGATTTCAAGGCACTCGTACTCCAATTCATGCCCAATGGAAGTTTGGAAAGATGGCTATACTCCCATAACTATTGCTTGAGCTTGCTTCAAAGGATTGACATCGTAATCGATGTAGCTTTAGCTATTGATTACCTTCATCACCACCATTTTGAGGTTATACTGCATTGTGATCTAAAACCGAGCAACATTCTTCTTGATGAAGAAATGGTTGCACATGTCAGCGACTTTGGCATTGCAAAGCTAGTGAGTGGTGTCAGCTGGAGCGTAACCTCAGCAAGCACGACAGGGACAATTGGCTATATTGCTCCAGGTAAATAAATTTAAAAGCTTTCACCTCAAATTTAATCCAATCACATATGATTTGCATCATCCTTTGTGTTTGTGGTATAGAGTATGCATCAACTGGAAGGGTCTCCACAAAGGGAGATGTCTATAGCTTTGGAATATTGTTGCTAGAGATCTTTACGAGAAAGAAGCCTATTGATCCTATGTTTATGGGGGAATCAAGCTTGCGACGATGGGTAAATGATGCAAAACCTACCGGCCTGTTAGATATTGTGGACTGCAATCTCTTGAAAGATGAAAATGGAAATGGAAGGCCAAAAAACTACTTAGTTTCAACACAGGCCTGTCTATCTTCCATCATGGAGTTGGGGATTATCTGTTCAAGTGACTCGCCAAAAGAAAGGCTTGCTATGAAAGACGTTGTTCCACAGTTGCAAAAGATCAAGATGAAGTATATGTCTGAGTCTTGTGTTGGTTGAAGCATGACAATGATGTATTATGAATTTACTTGTATGCATACAGGTTTCTTACCAGTTATATCAAGAGTAATGCGTATTATGAGATTCTGAGGCAACTATGAGAAGCATTTTAGTAACTTTTATTTACTAGATTTTGTTGATAACATATAGTTTTCGTTTTATTTTCTCAGAAACAATATATGCTGGTTGTCATCTATAAAATTCAAGAAATTTCAATATACATACTTGTATAAAAGCTGTATGGGGGGGCTTTTTTTTTCTTTTCCATTTATACCCTATTTATTAATTTACTGTATATATCCAATGAAGGGTAATTTAGGAAAGGCTCACAATGGGGGTTATTTTGGGAAGAAATGGGGCCAAAATTTGACTTTACTGTGCTCTTTCATCAATTCACTCCTCTATCTCTAGCCAAAAAAGAGTGGGAGCTATCAGCGGATGGGTTATTTTAGGAAATTTTAATCAAAATATGACTAAGAGCAAAATAACAAAACGAACTGTTGAGGAGATGATAACCCATTCATCCTCACCATAAAATTATTGAGGGGAGATGACTGGGCCAAAACAAAAAGGAGTTGGTGAGAAGGAGGAAGGGTGAGGGATTTTTTTTGAATATATAGGAGAAGATGAGGGCTGTAAAAAGAGCAGAGGAAAATGAACAATTACAGCTGTGCAAACGGTTGGTCGGTTCAGTTTTTATCAAATTTTGAACAACTGAACCGAACTATCCATTATTCAAAACCGAACCGAACTGTTGCAAGTCGGTTCGGTTCGGTTTGTTCGGTTCTAATCAAGATGCATTCAAATGTTGTAGACAAATTTATTTATGTCTATTATACAACCTTTTCTTTTGCTTTATTCACAACTTATATAGGTACTAACATGCAAAGATTTTGAAAATTATAGTGTTATTAGTGATGCGGTCAGTTCGGACGGTTCGGGTTGAAAAAATTTCAACCCGATCCAAACCGACCTACAAACAAAACCGACCCAAACTATTAATTTTCGGTCGGTTCGATCGGTTTTTTTCGGTTTGGACCGAACCATGCACAGCCCTAGGAACAACTCAAACTAAAATCACTGCTGTCATGGTTCTCTCTCTCTCTCTCTGATCTCTCTCTTCCTCTCCCTCCCTCCCTCTTTTAACTTGAATTTTTTCTCTACATACGTTCACGTTAAAAAAAATCGCTATAAATAATAATGATATTTCTGAATCCATGCCTGACTCGCTGGGTAACATCACTGGACTAGAGGACTTAATATTTGATGCTAACAGGTTATCTTCAGCAATTCCTGAAACTATTTGGAGTCTGCCTCAACTAGATTACTTAATTCTGTCACGAAACCTTCTCACTGGATAGGTATACTATTTTTTTCTTGTTAACCTGTTAACTAGATCTAAATCTGACTAAAATAATCTGGTTTCGGGTCTGGATATTTGCATGCAAACTCACATTCTCAAAGTCTTAGCACACATATAAGCTCTTTGCCAAATAGTATATAATGTGCTAGTCAAAACGTGTAAAAGCCAGCCCCCTCTATTTCCACGAGCCAAGGCTAACCAATGCAATAGAACCGTACGACATTACACCCTACATGCACATTTACATCCTTTCTATGAAACCCCCACGATGTATGCTCGTCCAGTTTGAAATCCACTCACAATTTTGTTACCAATTTGATGCTAGACAACTGGAATAACCTATGTCCAAGAACATTCCTCAAATTTCTCCTTATATAAACTTATTTGCTTCAACCCTCACCATACTAATTCAAACAATGGCTACTGGTTGTGTCGAATGGAAGGTAGCGGTTTCAGATACAATGACTCTGCATGAACCCGACCCATTTAGTCTCATTTGGGCTATTTGTCTTCCCATTTCTGGTTTCTTTAAGAGGATATGGAATATGGTGGTGATTGATCCAAGGAGAGCGATACATGGAGTGAAAGCAGGTTTTGCACTGAGTATTGTATCACTTTTTTACTATGTGAAGCCGTTATACGATGGCATTGGGGGAACGGGAATAGGAGCTGTTATGACTGTTGCAGTAATTTTTGATTTTACTGTTGGTAGGTATACCTGTAATTGCTAATTATTGCAATCATAATTCAAAATGAACATAACCAGTTAATGTCTTTGAAGGTGGAACTATATCCAGAGCCTTCAATAGAGTAACTGCAACATTATTCGGAGGTTCACTAGCCATAGCTATCCATTACATAGCAGATATTTCTGGTCAGATGACTGATCCTGTAATCCGAGGATCCTTTGTGTTTTTGATAGGTAAAATATTTTTTTGTTTGTCAAATATTCCTCTAGAGACAATGTTATAATATCTAATTAGACATTTTATTTTATGTTTCGTAGCTCTGGTAGTTACATTTGCACGGTTGATTCTGTTAATTTGGGGGTGGATACCAACCTCTGCACCGGCGAGGAGCTCCGACGAGCTCGATGTCGACGAGGCGAAGCCACAGGTGAGGTCCAGGCTATCTTCGGCAGCGCCCCCCCGAGCTCTGCGTTCGAGCTCGAGCCCCACGTGCGAGCGCCTCCACCCAACTCTGCGTTCGAACGCAGCCCTGCGTTCGGCCTCGAATTTGGCGTCGAAGCAGTCGCTGGCGACAGGCTGTCGCCAGCCCTCCACCTCCGCCTATAAAAGGGACCCCATGCCCTAGGGTTTAGCTGCTGAAGAACTTCCCCCTCTCCTCCGATTTCTCCTTCTCTGGTGGCGGCGGCTGCCCTAAAATCGCAGAGGCGATTTTTCTCCAGCTCTCAACGCGATTTTGAGAGAGAGAGAGGGGATTTAAAAGGAGAGAGAGAGAGAGAGAATTAAAGAGGGTTTAATTGTAGGGTATCATTTATTCTCAAGTTGAAAATTGAAAGGGTTCATACCCTTTGATTATTAACACTGTAGCTACAGTGTTTATCTGAGAAATCTCAGTTTTGAGATACGCTCCTAAATTGTAATTTCTTGTTTGATTAATAAGAAATTATCTGTGTGGCTCCCGAGGACGTAGGCAGTTGCCGAACCTCGTTAAATCTTGGTGTACTTTTTTATACTGCGTTTCCGTTGCAATTAGGGGTTTAGGCGTTAAATTCCTAACAGATTCCGACGGTTAAAAGACAGTATGATTATGGCATGATGACCTTCATCCTCACTTTCTCACTAGTTTCTGTTTCTGGGTATCGAGTTGGTGAGTTGACTGAGCTAGTACAGCGTCGATGCTTGACTATAGGCTTAGGAAGCTCAATATGTGTGATTGTGAGCATGTTTGTGAATCCGATATGGGCTGGTTTTGATCTTCATCTATTATGTGTAAAAAACATGGAGAAGCTTGCTGCATCTTTGGATGGTAGTAGAGTTATCTTGAAATTTGAAGGTTTATTTGTTTATAATTCATTACTAAATTAAACTAGTTGGATTTTTTATTTTTGTGATGCAGGGTGTGTAGCTGAGTATTTTTCGCAGGGTGGGACATTTGATGGAAAGGAAGTTGGGGTTCAAGTATTGGAGGGGTACAAATGTGTTCTTAATTCGAAACCTTTGGAGGATTCTCTGGTGATTTACTTAATTCAAGGATTTAATTGGTAGATAAAATCATCCTTAACTTGATAGAATTTTAATGCCATTTTTTGAATAATCACAGACGAGGATTTGCATTACCTTAGGATGTTGTTTGTGATGTGCTTGCTTGCAATGACATAGAGGCCAAGTCTGACCAAACTTAGATCACAAATTAAAACAGCTTCAGGAACTCAGATACAAATTTTTCTAATTTCAACTGAACTTTGACTTTATAGGCTAAATACATAGTATTGAAAAGCTTCATCGACACATATCCAATTTTTAAATGATAAAGATAGATGTCTTCTTTAATTAGATCACAGAATTTTTTATTACTGTACAAATCAGGCTAACTCCTAATATCTGAAAACCAATGCTATAGATAAAGATAAATTCATCAATTCAAGCTTTTATCATAAAGGGTTAATTCACATAAATCCCCTGCAGTATTGCTGATCGTACTATCCCTGTATTTTCATTGTTGTAGATAGAA